ATGAACATTTAGGACTTTTCGTGTATATTCTATAACTTTGCAAAGAAAGGTAGTGTAGAGATGGAAGATATCTCATTTTAATCAGCAATTTGCGGTCTACAATTACGCCTCATTAAGAAAGGTTTTGGTTATTTTTTAGAGTTTCTGAAAACCTGGTTTTCCAAAAATCCGGTCTTTGGCGGCCTAGCAGTACAAACCTATGTCAGATTCGGATTTAGCGCAGTCGATTACCTATTGTCCACTAGAGTTCAAGCAAAAAGTGAGCGCACACTTGGGGACCTTTCCTCGTCAGTCGAAAAAAATAGTTAATATGTAAAAATCACCAGAGATTCACACAAATTCATATCACAGACAAAGTAGAAAAAAGATATCTGGATTTAATTAACTATCTTCTATGGCAGTTAATATAGACGGCGGACTTGTTGAGGACATTTTAACTCTCTTCATTGCTTGCATCATCCAATCAAGGCTGGTTAAGATCTAAAAAAAGTAATTATGAGTTTCTTGCAATTAGTGAAGCCTAACAATTAAATGACCTTCGCTTGTTGTTTTTCAATTAAATTCATTTTCACTTCCATATGTGAATATTTGTCAGTTATTGAGCCAATTACGTTTTTCAAATTCGCCGTTTCTGTTGGTCCGTTGCTCTCAGCAGCTGGATTAGCAACGGGCCTTAGATGTAGAAAACATTTCAGATAACACGTCTCTAAACGTAAGAATAAGTATCAGTTCTTACCGCAAAGTTGGGGATGATGCGTTAGGTGATGCCTGCTCCTGTTGTTGTTTCACGTCTAACACGGAGCGTGCATAATTATATGTGGCTGCATTTTCAAAATCATTACATTTCTTATCAAAGTAGTCCGATGAAGTCATTTCTAAAGAACAACAAGTCGACTAATTCAAATACCAGAATAGATACCGAATGACAGTAACTCACTAAAAACTTGGGTTGTAGCTGGATGTTTTTCGTTTCCATTTCTTTTTTTACACCAGTTACAAAAGCAAAAAAGCTTGATTAACAAATAGATGTAGGCTAAGACAGATAACGGTGGATATGAAAAGATGGTCTTTTCAAAATATTCACGTATAAATGAATAATGTTGATAACGCCAAAAATATTCAGTGTTGGCTTCGACACGGTTGATGGTGGTACTTTGGTAACCAGAAGAAAAGAGTCCGAGTTTAACTGTGGAGACCGTAAGAAAAGGATGTCTTACGTGAAAACGGCAATTAGTAAGTTGATGAGAAGGATGCCGACGAACAGCATATGAAACGCCAACAAGACATGTGTAGCTGTGGCTTCAGTTACACTTTCAGCACTGGCACTGCTGTTATTGATAATATCTAGAACAACTCAAAAGCAAAGAATTCACAAACATTTCGAATCCGGAAATTACAAAAACTACCGTCTAACATTTGCTTGTCATCAACAGTCTGATAGAGAAACCAGTATGGAGCATAGAATATGGAACTAAATACTCCTCGCCCATCGAATTCGACTTTATTATACATAATCATCGCACGACTGACAACGCCGTAGGCAGTAATAAAAATGAAAAACAAGTAAATGAAACCGGCTAATTCAAGAAGCTAAAACAAGTGACGCCCATACAAATATAGAAAATGATTGAACAAAGAATGAAGCTCACCATGTCTCTGATCATGAATAATTTGGGCCCGAGAATTTTGATGGCACTAACGAATTTTAACGATAGTAAGTACCATAACTCCAAATCAAATGCCAATATGATTCTAAAGATTACGAGAACTCAATCATTCTAACGTATCTCTGTGCTTTTACATAACTTGCCTAGCTACTGTTAAATATCTAGGCGTCAGCCCATATCCATATCTCAATAAAGTTCCAATATAAAACAGAATATACGGCGATGCGTGGAAGCCAAATAAGACAATAAATCCATTGCTGCGATGCCAACCTTTCAGCATTTGACTATGATATTTGTATAATAACTTGAACAAATGAAGAAAGGGTTTTAGAAACTTAAAATTTAGAATTAGAAACTATACCTGTCTTATATCTTCACAAAGCATGGCGGACACCGTAAGTATAACATAAATCTCGCTCCAATGAAGATATTCACCTGGCTGCGGTGCATCAAAATGATATAACATCATCCAACTGAATACTAACAACAGCCAAACATAGACAATCTAAAAAGACTCAGGCATTTAAATCGCATTTTTATCGTAAAGCCTTTTCACCTACAAAGTGATAGCACATTTTCACCAATGGACATTCATGAAAATGCTTAAACTTCTTCCAGTATAGTTTCCATGTACAACGCTCGGAGACTGCATAATTCGTGTAATAATTGATGCCACGACGGGGACACCTAAAAAACTTACAACTTTTCGTGTTCCAAAATCCATTATAATATATTCCTACTTCTTAGCTAATTCAATTTCTCCAAATTCATTTTTAATGTCATTCTAAAAGCAAGAGATCTTCCGAACTGAAAGATAATAAGCAGCAGGTCTCATACTTTAGGCCTATACGAGATGAGCCATGGTGCTGCTAATCCTAAAGTTAACAGACAAAATAAAATCTTTGGTTTTGCCGAGTAATTTTGGTTTGAATTATCCAGCTTATTGTACCAAATACGGCGCAGGGCTTGATCAAAACAATCCGTATTCACAAAATTCTTGCCAAGACCATTTCGACGTCCAACCGAATTGTTATCGATCGTTACATTACCGCTCGCTTCACTTGCTGCTGTTTTTTCCTCATAATGACTTCGATTAGCTATGGCGACCTAAACAGTTAAAGATTATATTTTTCCAATGATATCAATTTGACGTGCTCTCTTAAATTACCTGCATACATGTCACATTTCCGAATAACGGTATTTCTCTTAGAAGTAACTCACACGCTTTTCGTTCGCTGTTTCGGTAACAAGCATTAATACACTCTGTTGCATAGATTTCTAATTCCAATGCCTGTTGTCTATACATATTTTTTTCGTCTGTCTTGATGCAATGGTTTGAGTAACGATTAAGTATGATTGAGCCAATAAGAGCAGCGCAAATGCGCGGTTTGATGTGAAGAAGTAACACTTTCGCGATCTTAACACGATTCATTAAAATGGCCCATAAATACAGGTCCCTTAGCATTTCTTGTTCGCCATATTTACAGTTTGGCATCTTGAAAAATGTTGCATAGGCTGCTTCGCCTGGCCTAACCATCAGACTTCTGACTGACTGAGCACCATCGGTTGGAGTCCTATTCACCGTCTGTAATACAGTTTTGTCGCTTTCTGATGTAATTTTATTATCACGGACATCGTCAATGTGCATGCATGCACAGAGGTGTCTCTTAGTTTTAGACACAACTCTGCTACAGTCCTGTTTCAGTCGTTGTGACCAAGTTTTTTTACTATAAAGTGAAAATAAGAAAGGTCCGATCCATCTTCTGTATTCGACATCCAAATCATCAATGCTCTTTGGTACGCGGAGCACCCGTCGACGATCAGTCTAAAAGAAAAAGAGTCACAACATTTTAAAGTAATGCGTTTTTTCAATCAGACAACTTACCTCGTGTTCCTCATTCAAAACTGCTCCGTACAGTCCTAAAATTAAGCCTAATGCATATTTGACTCTAATATCAAAGGTTGTCTCCTGCATTGGTCTAGATTCGACTACTGGTTGCACTCTATTATGCCGATGCCGAGCAGCTGATGCCACGTTGTCAACGATTGGAATGACGGTGTCACTTGTAAAAATAGCTAAAGCGCCTCTAGAATTTGAAGTTTGATTTTTTAGATATTCGGTTGTATCCAGTGGGTTAAAATTCAATCGAAGAATATAATCGACAAATAACGACTTATTTTCAAGTAGAGCTTCTACAAATAAATCGGCATAGAGAGACGGATCCTAAAACGCAATTAATTCTTACTGGGAAGAAGCGATTATTTATCCCATTACTTTATCTTTATAAATATCCTGTTTTTCTTCTAAAATCTCTTTTGCACCATAAATACAATTCCACTTTATAGCTAAATTTAAAAGCTTACGATCCACTGTGGTTTCATCATCTACTGATATTTGTTGATCGGTTGTTGATCGCTGAGCCTGCTGCTTTTTATCCTTGTCTGCAAATTTAGCTAAAATAAAAATTAAATGTAAAAAAAAACGAAACAGAACTTTACTTTTCATCAAAGTTTACCTCTAAAAACGGCATTGAATATTGTTTCCGTTAACGTTGTATTGCCATTGAGATGATAGATATTAAGATATATTCTTAATGACGGATTCATAATACTATTCATGATCGGCAGAATATCTTCGGGTTTGGAGAATACCGATGTGTGCGGCCAAACGGGAAACATACGTTTTAATTCGCGTTTGATTTCATCGTCTGATGGTCGTGCACTATTACCCCAAAGAAGAAAAGAACATATTGTCGTTAAACTTTTTGAAAAATGGGTTCCAGTACATAAAAAGGTCGCCATCACGAATTGTGACAAAATTACCTCGGTGATGTTTGTTCATTTCTAGTTGTAAGATCCAAGAGATTTGCAATAACATCAGCCATTCTGCCACTGCCCTAAAGATATTATGACTACCAGCATTTTGATCAACGCTCTGCGCAATTATTTCAAGTAAGCTGCATCAAATGATGAAATGGTGCATTCTTCGACGTCGCCTTACCTGAATAATAACAACAGGTCGACGATGTTGCAAATCATTGTCGATAACTTCACTTGTGTGCAATCCTCCTTCAACAATTATGGTGACGCCGTAGCCTACAAATTAGAACCAATGTAACGTGAGATTTTCTTAAAGATGATTGATGATACGCATACAAGGATTTTCCGTGTTCTGACAAATATGTGTAACAAAATCATTTCTTTGTCCATCACCAAGATAACCTTGAGTTTGTCCATCGTCAACAAGTAAAAAATGCGTGTGGTTTGCTTCCAATGATTCCATGTCAGTATCTTCTTCCTCTGGGCTAAAATCGATCACTGAGCTAGAACTCGTGGTCGAGAGAATTTGTGCCTAAACAAATGCTGGCTGTTTGAAACCATAGATTAATGGTAATTATTTCGAAAAATCAACCTCTTTCTTCAGCATTGTTCTTGTCTTCTCTGTTATCGTTCCCCATTTTGTTAGCCCAATGAGCGTGACCGGTTTTCTATAATCAGTTAACAAATTAAATCTGGATACGCCGTCACCGATTAGTTTTGACACGCCACTATTTAATCCCGTAGTCAAGATCCATGTGCCTTCAAAAATAAGCGAAATGATTAACGCTGGATTCATATTCTAAAATTCATTGTACCTTTTGTTGTGGCTACATGTGCAATCCCAATCATAAATTCCTTTTCCAAATCTTTATTCATCGTGAAGTATTTGGCACCACCATAACAACTCACAATTAAATTCGGCTCTTGACAATCTAATTTAATGAAATCATATAGAGAAATGATATCTTCGGGCTGGCGAGTTACGCATCGAATGAACTAAAAAGATAAAGAAAAGCTGAGAGCTGCTTAAAGTGAACCTGCAGTAAAACATGTATCATCTAAAGAAACTAATAAATGATGAGACTTTTATATGAGGAGAATTCATTTTTAATATTTCTTATCCAAGCTAATTTTGTATTCTGAAGATTTGATGTAATCGAAGTTGCGTAAGAAAAAAATTCAGAAAATCTTACTTTTGATTGATTTTTTCGTATTCCATACGTAACAGGTACATAAACTGCATTATTTAGTAAGTTCCACTTGTCCTTGGGCGGTGTTTCTACGTTGTCCGTGTAACTATGATTTCTTATATATCTTTTACAGCCGCAGATAGCATTGAGGTCATTTGCTGGTGCCTGAGATTGGGTATTATAAACGTTACATGTGACACCGGTCAATTCAGATGATGCAATGAATGTTTCAACGGTGCTTAGCCATTTAGATGTGCTAACCATTACTAAAAGATTTGAAGGCAGATCAACTGAAGCTATGCCTGAACATCCAAAATATCCCGCTTCTTCTTCGAATCGCTGTCAATCCCTGACTATAAGTCTATTTTTTTTTTGTCGTTCTCGGAATATTCTTTTTCACTACTTAACAAATCTTACGTCGTTACTATTTACTATTGCATTTTCTTTTGCAGATTTTCAATAAAGATTTCATTCATGCTTCAACTGTTCTTTTAATTATACTATTTTTTTTTGCAAAAAAGAAAACGTCTCTTTTCTGTCTTAAAGTGTTGCATAGTAAAATTCTTTGTTTTCGTCCTTCTTAAAAACGTTAACAATTTTTAAACAAACAAAAGTTACAAGTTAAGACACATAGTTACAATAACTATGCTTTATTTTTGAAAATAAAGTAAACAAAAAAATGACAGCCAAGAGTTTTAACAACGAGCTCGAGCCTTTAAAAAAAATTAATACAATTGTAAAATTAAGGGAAGGGGGAGCTCCCCCCATTTAGATTTTCCTCTAGCGTTCCCAGTTTGTAGAGGATACTTCGAAGTATATGTTCTAAAGTTTTCTCAGCTTACTTACATTATTTAGGTGAGAAAAAAATAATTACTTAAAAAAATGTTGTTAAATTTTTGAGCACGGGGTTATTATTACAAAATTTCCTGTCTATTCTCCATTCATCATGAAAACTTAGTTCTTGCCTAGATCGATGGAGAAATGTGTGGAGAATATTTACGACAAAAAAATATACAAAAATTTTTGCTCTTTCCTTCCGGTTATTGACTAATTAGTACTAATTAACGTTAATTTAGCCTACTCTACTAGCATAAAGTCTTATTTGTATAATAGCAGCGCAACAAAAGAAGTCATACAATACCTCATCTGACAGAGAATTTCACGGGCTACAATATAATCTACCTTAAAAATTTTAGAATTCAGTTTTTGGTCGCTCGGTAAGACTGATAAGTCCAAAATTTAACAATGTTGTTTTAAATAATTAAATTTTTTCTCAGCCAGATAATTTCAGTAGAAAACTTCCGAACATACACTTCGAAGTGTCCTCTACAAATCGGGAAGGCCTGAAGAAAAAATTCAAAACTTGAAAATAGCGCTGGTTTTTGGCTCACCGAAGATTTTATCACCTCGCCTTACGGCTAGTTTCGCCCGAACCAAGCATTTCGAAGCAAAACTTTTGGTACAAAAGTTGTTCAGAATCAAATTCTGCAGTCCCTCATGAGAGCTTTTTTTAAAATTTTCTGTTTTTGGTTTTTAAATTAAATTTTACGGTTTTTAAAATCCTAAAATTTCATATTTTTCAATTTAAAAAGCAAAAAAAGAAAATTTTAAAAAAATCTCTCGCGGAATTCGATTCTGAACAACTTTTGCATCAAGAGTTTTCTTTCAAAATGCTTGCTTCGAGTGAAACTAGCCGTAAGGCTTTTTTCAAAATACTTTTAGCTCTAAAATTTCCTCGGGTAGGTGAAAGTTAAATTTCTCCGTCAAACGTCATTTGGGAACGATGTAAACTTTTTCTCCTTATACAAACTAATGTTCTCTATCGAACTACGCTAGAATCAACTATTTATATCAGAAAATGAAGTTTTTATTGAAATTTTAAAAATAGAGCAAAAAACCCGAAAAAATCTTAAAAATAATTTTTAACAAAAACTATAAATCCGGGAACTGAAAGCTTTGTTGAGACGTATACTTCGAAGTGTCCTCCACAAACCGCTGGATAAAACGGATGGGGACCCCTCTCTTAAATGAATGTTTAAACAGCTCTGAAAATCAAAATACGTTATTTGTATTAGATTTTAGAGCAAGGTATGTTTTATGGGGAGGCAACACCATCATAAATGTGTTCTCTTCTGTTACTTTGACCTCTAGATATCTCGAAGGTCATTATTCGATCGAAACTAAGATTCGTCGTTCGTATTTGGAATATAAAGATAAGGTTATACCACAAGGAGAATCGATTCAAGGCTGAATATAAACTAAAAACAGTGCCGATATTCATTTTAATTTTAGACAGTGTTCAAGTGGGACGTGCAGATGGTGTGAATAAAACTGAACTGAAAACACTCATCGATAATGAAGTGGAAAAGCAAAAATAGTTCGCTGCTAAATCACAGCAAGGTGATTTTAGATTGTTTTCTCTGAACAAAAAGAATTTTTCACTAGGTATAAAATTTAATTAAAACTCATCGAATTAAAACTTTTTTCCCTTGACATATGTTAATAGGCGTGTCACACTAAATTATAACTCCGTCAGTTTATAAGCTACGAACTTTTCTTTTGGAACTTAAGGGTTTGAAACGATGCTCTTTCTTTTTGTCTCTTGGATGTTCTTTCTAGGACCTTTAGAAATCGGGTTTCCAGAAAACCGTGGTTTTGGCCTGCCGGCTTTGAGAAAAACGACTTTCTGAAAAAAACGACCAAAATTCACTTTATAATACAGATTCGGAATCAGAGTGAAATGGCGGTCATTTTAAAAAAAAATTCGAGGTTCTAACTCAAAATTTAAAGTTTAAAGTTTCCACTTTTTTGAAATTTCAATAACTCCTCAACGATGAATCATAGAAACTTCGTTCAAACGCCGTTAAATAGAGAATTAAATTCTAAACAAACGTAGAGGTTTGAGAAAGTTCAAGCGGATCATTAAGAGGGAATGTATTCTCAAAACGTTTCAAAGTCCCAGGTTTCAGCTATTGAAATTTTTACAAAATCGAGAAAATGCGCAGAAAAATTTTCTTTTAAATG